AAGCATGAAACTTTGATCAGTATCAAGGATGGCATTTATGCTTCTTTGGTAGCATTGCATGCAAGTGCCTCATCTTAGAGAGTTTTTATCTTCTTTTTATCCAAAGGAAAAAGAATACGTAATGTAGTATATTTTTATGCAGAGAGGGTAAATTACCAAGAGGCATTTTTTCTTTCTTTCTTGAAAGCTTCACAACACTGAGTGAAAACTCCTTATAATTATTTATGGTATTTATGGTTTAGTAGCTTGAATAACAATATATTATTATTAGTCCTAGCTGTAATACATACTATAAGACTATAAGTTGATTGATTGAGGGCTCATTCAATTTCTTGTGTTTTACCATTTTCAATGATTGAAGGGGTTGGGGCCTTTGACATCTGAAGTGGCCCCTCAACAACCCAACTTCTCCATTCACAAAACAACAGAAAGTGGATTAAACTTTACTCCATAAACAATCATACAAACAAGTCAAGCCCACTTTTTTGCAAGCTCATACAAAACCCCATAACATTAAGCATTTTTATTTTAGCTCTAGAGTGGTGGCTCTACTTCTACATCTACTTATTGAATTGATCATGCGCATATTAGTGCCCTGGTGGTGACTGAGACTGCCATTGACATCTGACCTCTGATCTGACCCGCCACCTATTTCATACTCTGCTTGTGTACAAAAAAAATCCCAGCTTCTCTTTTCAAGCATCAACAATTGGGACCAAAGCCTCCTATTTTTATAGACACTCGTGTGTATTTGGAAAAACTCAACGGGGAAGGAAGAGGAGAGGAATAAGGTGATCAAAATTAGATTATTTGAGGAATACTTTTGTGAGGCTTAATCACATTGTATTTTCATAATCCGAACCGTCTATATTTTAGGTTTCATGATCACCAATCAACTACTTTATGGGCTCATTTCAATGCGGTAACATTTGCTAGAGTCAAATGACCTTCCCTCCCATATACAACATGACCCAATATCTCAAACATATGAGACCTAAGCTTGAGTTTATCTAACACCACAGTGAAAGATTTGTTGAAGAAAGTGGACGCAGGCCTCTTAATTCAATCATTGAGAAAACCCAAAAATCTTTTGGACATATTTTGTGATTTGGGACCCTGTAATGTTAAATTTGCAAGTAGTACTAAATTGTGGGTAGTTTTCTTTTATTCGATGACATGTTATGCAATTAGACTATCGACAATGTTAACCTCTCCAGTGTAAATTTAAGCATTGATTAAGGAATTTGATTAATTACCCGCGTGAATTAGATTGTTTCAATCAACATCAATAAGAGACAATATATGTCACAATCAAAACCACAAATGATACATCATGTGAGGTAAAGTTGCAAATTGCGGGTAGTTTTCTTTTCTTCGATGACATGTTATGCAGTTAGATTGTTGACAATGTGAACCTCTTCAATGTAAATTCAAGCATTAATTAAGCATTGATTAAGGAATTTGATTAATTACTCACGTGAATTAGATCGTTTCAACCAACATCAATTAGAGACAATATATGTCACAATCAAAACAACAAATGAGACATCATGTGATGTAAAGTTGCAACTGACCAACCAATTGGCCATACTACATATTGTATCTTATTAACTTGTATATACAACTTTCCAAGTTTTAAATCCTTCAAAGGGAATCCCATCCCCCCATTTTTCTTTCTGGCTTGTTGATCTTCAGCCTTCAGGTACTTTTCTTCTGCAATCTGCATTTCATGTATGTTCTCTAAGATTTGCCTATTAACCTATGCATTCTATGGGCCTGTTTCCGTACAGTATTTTTAGAATGGCTAAAAGTTTTTTCAGATAACCAAATACCGGAGTTTCATTAGCCGAAATCTTCTCCATCTTAGCTAGCTACCCTTTTTGCAAATTTGAAATTTGACAATGCCCAAGTGAAGATTGAAACCAATGTAAGGGGCCATCAGCCATGTTAAGGTGGTCCATAATTTGGAGAATATGAGACAAAAGCATGAGCTAAATTAAGGCAATTGGGCATCATGCATACACCAAGCAATTTCTTTTAGCTAGCTTGAGTCTGCGGTGGCTTTGAAATTCAGCGCATGCAGAAGAACAAGTCACAGTCTCAAACAGACTCACAATTACTCACTGTCACATGCAGCACTGTTGCATTGCATGTATATATATATAGTTCATTCAAAAAGTTTCACGGGTGAGCTACGTATTTAGTGTTTTGCTTTTGTAATTTTGTACACATATCTTTCTAATGGGAAAATTTTCAAGTCTACCTATTCACTTTGGTTGCCATTAGTTTTTCTTTTCTGCCCTTTTTTCCCATCTGCGTGGTCCCTATAAACATCAAAACTGGAAAGCCATGCAGACCTAATTTTCACATGGGGTCACCTTGGAACTTGAAACCTCTGTTTGTTATATATGTTAATAGTTGAAAGGCTTTTCATTTCACTCAGTTGCAGGGCTGGCAGAACACAGAGAAACTTTCATTTTGTGTATGTAGAGCAGCAGATGGATTCCACGTACTATGACGGAGGAAAAGCAGGCACAAGGAGAAAGAGTAGAACCTAGATTTTCATCTGATTTGAGGGTTAAGTAAGGTATGTTGCTGCTGATGACTTTTAGCTTTCTCAATCAACTAGTGCTTTTGCTTTCCGTGTCTTTTTATGCAGCACTATATTTTCTAATCCGTGGGTTCATCTTACTTTTCTGATCCATGTATAATATATGTGGTCGGATTTGGAAGCTGCAACTATACTTTTGTTGCTTTGACAATATTTAACAATAGTCTTTCTTTTAGTATAAACGATAATCTAAACTATAGAAAAAGGGGATTTCTCACACACACACACAACTATTATGTCTCGAGAATTTGAACTTGAGACCTTTAGTCTGTAAGTCAAAGCCTTTTTCCACTAGATTAGATCATGTTGACTATTTAACAATAGTCTTAGCTAGTCTTTAGATGTTCCTATCTTACTTTTTGGGTCTGGAATATATTTACTCTAGCCCAATATTTAATTCAGAAATTACCGAGGATTCTCTTAGCTAGTGATCAACTTCTTATTGTGTCTTTCAACGGAAGATTTGAATTTGGGATATTTTTCAATGATGGAAAAAGAAGTATAATTAAACTAAGAGTTAGTTGATAAATCGACCTATATAGTTAGTGATTCTATCTTTTTTGATAAATAATCCTTTGCTCCCATCTTACCATAATATCAATTTGACAATTGCTAATTTAATTTCTACTCAAACCCTAGTAGCCACAAATAATCACAATAATCTTTTTCTTATTTCCATGGCCAAAATCTGAATATTGTATTGGTAAATATGATTTTTTTTTCTTCCCTTGTCAGATAAGACAGAGTATGTAATAATTAAGCCGTCCCAATACTGATTTTGACATTGAGGAATATAAAGAATATGGACCCCAACAAAAACTACACTGTCTGTTGCATTTCCTTTTCTTGCACAAACAAATGGAAATGTGACCATACAAAGCCAAGACTGTTTCTTTTCAATTTCCTTGAGAGGACAGACACATCTTGATTGGTTGAAGAGTGACCAGTATCACAAAGAGAATGCTAAATAAACACAACACAACTCATTTGAAAATTCATATGCATGGAAGACAGCACTAAAAATAAAAAAAAATAGACCAATATAAAATGTTTTCCGAAAAATAAATTCCATAAAACCAAACATGCACTAAACCCTATATAATTAATTAAGCCAATTGGATTGATAATTAGGGTATGTGGAGATTAGTTGAATGGCCCATAATTGTGACTTGCAACCAACCATTTGGAGAGGGGAGCAGTTTGAGCTTAGAAGACAACTTGAATGAATTAAAATTCTCCATTTATGAGTGAATTATGATTGGTCTTTACGCATTAAGAAACCACCGTTGGATTGAATATAAAATATATATTGATTTTGAAAAAGAGTACCTTTTCTGCATTCATCCATATCTTCCAATCATTCTCATGGGTCTTGACTCTCATAAATGCGTGCTTGTCCCTATATGTCACGGACCCATCTCTTATTATATGCGGTACGACAACCTCAGCATGATGAACCCATCAAGTACGATAGCAAATATTATAAGATGCTAAAACGTTTCTATTTGTTTTTGTAAAAGTTAGAGAGGGAACGAGAGTTTTCTCACACACACTACCAAGGTGTTATGGGAGTTCGAATTTGAGAGCATTGACAAGTCAAGATCTATTTTTGATTGAGCTAGACCCCGTTGGCCGTTTTCAGAGGAAAAAATGAAAGAGAATTTGAAAAAAAAAAAATCTAAATGGGCCACGAAAAAGGTTGATCATTGTTTTTTAGCTATTAAAAGAGAGAATTTAAAAGGTTCTTCTTCTTTTATTTTTTTCTTTTTTTTTATCGTTAAGGACAATAGTATTTAGATTCCTTTCAAATTTCATGAATACTTAATGGGTCATAAAACCCCAAAGGAGGTTTCTTCCTTACAAAATTTAAAATTCTGTGATTGAATTTAATTCACCATTAAGCGTGTTAGGTGATGTGGAGTCTATTTTATGTCATCATTAAATAACAAAGAATTAAAAATGCATTAAACACAAATTCTAACTGAAAATTCATTATGTGCACAGAAACTGATAAAAACACAATCACAATATGGAATGTTACACTTGTGTTCTCAGCACCTCAAATTTTCCACAGGCTCAAAGGTCGTGAACTCTCTATTGGGTTTGTTGCTAATTTGCTGGAGATTGAAAGGTGGCCAAGATAAGTGGTTCTTTTGCTCGATTTGGTGTGGTCAATGAGGGATGCCTGTTGTGGGTTCTTGAGAGCCATTGATGAAAGTTGATGTATAAAGTAGGTAAGTCAACTGCCGAGTGCAGGCCCCATAAGCACCCATGCACCAACATTGCAGTACAGAATCTAACAGAAGCTCCTAAATCAAATCTCTGTTCCATTGTTTTGTTGTTGCAGTTGCAGGTTGCTTCGAGAAGACAATACCTTTAGGCCATAAGCATGAAGCAAGGGACGCCACCATCTTCAACAAAGAGTGAAAGCAAAGTTTCTGGTAATATGTCACAGCCAACACCACCATCTTATCTCAGAGCTTCAGCTTCTTCCAAAGCAAAGGAGTCTCCAAGTCCAAGGCCATCAAGAGCAAAGTCAGTCTCCCCAGATGTGAATTGTGACAATTCCAGGAGCATTAGGAAGTCTCTTTTGCTCAACAAGCCTAAATCTGGAGAGTTGGTGTTGGGATCTCAGAAAAGTAAGGAACTTGAAGAGACTAAAGCTGTGGGTAGGCCTGGAAATCGCCAGGTTGCTGAGCAATTTGCAAGGCCAAGGCCGCAGAGGCCTGCGGATCCTAATTCCAAGAGAAATGAAGACCACCCACATGAGAAAAACAGAGAATTGCAGGAAAAATTTTGCATGAGTGAGAGTTTGATCATGAATTTGCAGGCTGAGGTGTTGGCCTTGAAGGCAGAGTTGGATAAGGCTCAGGGCTTGAACGTGGAGCTGCAGTCACAGAACAAAAACCTCACTGAGAAACTTGCTGCTGCTGAAGCAAAGATAGCAGCTTTTACCACTCGTGAACAGGTAAAGACACGAACTTTCATGGGTCTGTGATTGTTTTCCATGAAAACGTGGTGCCTTTATTGGTTGCAATGTTTATTCACTGCAGTTATTGATTTTGTTCTTAATATTTGATTGTGGGTTTTGTGCTTTTAAGATTTTGTATCTGTTTCTGGCAGAAAATTCAATTTGGTTGTTCTGAAGTGTAGTCTTAATTATCTGTAGTTTTGATATCATTTCTGTTTTGCCTGATGTAGCGGGAGACAAATGGAGAGTACCAGAGCCCTAAATTTAAAGACCTTCAGAAACTCATTGCCAACAAATTAGAACGCCCAGTAGTAAAGAAAGAGGCAGTCAAAGAAAAAAGTGCTAATAAAACACCAGCTCCAGCACCAACTGGTGCAATTCCTAGAGTTGCAGCCACCCAATCTGGGCCACCACCTCCGCCCCCACCGCCACCTTCAGTTCGATCCCCAACCCCACCACCACCTCCACCTCAGCCCTCAGTGAGATCAACTACCAGTGCCACTCGGAAGGCTCCATCCCTTGTAGAATTTTATCACTCATTAAGAAAGCAAGAGGTGAAGAGGGACTCTCCAGAATCTAGAAACCATCATAAACCATCAGCTATTAGTGCTCATAATAGCATAGTTGGAGAGATTCAAAACCGTTCAGCACATCTGTTAGCTGTAAGCTTTTATGAGTTTGATACCTTATTGCTTCTTTTGTTTCTGCTGCCTCAGCTTGAAGTTTGAATCATTATCTAATGACAATTCTTTCCAGATAAAAGCAGATGTTCAAACAAAAGGAGAGTTCATCAATGACCTTATCCAGAAGGTGCTAGTTGCAGCATATACTGATATAGAAGATGTCCTAAAATTTGTGGATTGGCTTGATGGAGAACTCTCATCCTTGGTACTTTCTAACGCCCAACTATCTTTAATTTTACCAAATCAAAAAAGTATCATATTTTCTGTACCATTCCATAAGCAGAAGCCAAGATTTTCTAGAATCAATTTCAACTGTAGGATATATTTTATGGAGAGAATTGCAAGCCAAACATATAACAAACAGGGGGTTGTAAATATTTGTAATCTATTAGCCTGCCTAAGATGGTCGAGTGGTATCTCTGATAGCAATTCAGCTTATCTTGCATTACTTTAGGCCATTTAGGTACTTAGAAATGTTAATCTTCCATTGGCTTCTGCTTTGGAAAGTTTTGAAACTGGGCACCCCTACTAGATTGTAATGTAAGAAGCTTAACTGGTTCAGAGAGTCAGATACATAAATGGGTGGATAAGTCTAACATTTTCATGCCTTCTACAGGCTGATGAACGGGCTGTCTTAAAGCATTTTAAGTGGCCTGAGAGGAAAGCTGATGCCATGCGAGAAGCTGCAATTGAATATCGTGACCTTAAACTGTTGCAAAGCGAGATTTCTTCTTATAAGGATGACACTGACATTCCATGTGCAGCTGCCTTGAAGAAGATGGCGGGCTTATTAGACAAGTAAGAACTATGTAAATTATCTTCTATATTCGTTAAAAGTATTTCTAGGCCCAGCATGTTAATGTTGCTCTCTCTCATCTCATTGTCTAAGGTCGGAGCGAAGTATACAAAGGCTAATTAAGTTAAGAAACTCAGTTATGCGTTCTTATCAGGAATTGAAAATTCCAATTGATTGGATGCTTGATTCTGGGATTGTGAGTAAGGTATGCTTCTTTATGTGCATTCTCTAATATATTGAGGGTGATAATGAAATTATGCAGTTTAATCTGAAAAATACAGATTTCAGCATGGCAGAAACCTTTTAAAGTATCTTCACATTTTTGGTAGATTATATCAGCATATCTCCTGCTGTATTTAGTGGCTTTGTTCTATCTCATTGTCTGTAATCTGATGTCAGGAATTATTTTAAAGCCTTGTGTACATCATTATTTAGCGGCTATTGAGGAATATCCTTATGTTTATATTGTCCCAAATTGTGTAGATAAAGAAGGCTTCCATGAATCTGGCTAATGTTTACATGAAGAGGGTGACAATGGAGCTTGAATCCATTCGGAATTCAGATAGAGAAACAAGTCAAGAATCTCTTCTGCTTCAGGGCGTGCATTTTGTATATAGGGCTCACCAGGTAATCCTTGAGTCAGCAATTTCTATGTTTGCTCATAGTTATGGTATGGATAGGATCACCTAACAAGGAGCCTAATGAATCCATTTGAGAGAAAATAAGGGCAATCAAGTCGGGTTGCACTGAATATCATAGGGGCTATTGTTTCAATTTTGGAGCAGCAAATGTATAACTCACTTTTCAAGTGTTTTTTTTCCCCTCTAATATGAATCCACCCACCCTCTTTATTATGAGAAGCTGAACAGTGACCAAGAATGATAAAAAGGAGAAACTCATTTCTTTGCTGTGCAGTATCTCAGTTTATGACCTCATAGTAGGTTAATGGAGACTGGACATATGATGGATTTGGGGGACTATGTTTCATCACGTGCGGCATTTTTCTGGGTGGTTTGGCTAAAATGGCTTGGGTACCCTGTCTAATTTTCTGTTGTTATGTAGACATCTTAGGTTCCTGTCTAATCGGATTTCTTGCCTGGGAGTAACAACGAAGTTGCTGCAACTGGATTTGTTTTCCCTTTTTTCTGTTCCAATCTTTCTTTTCACTACAAGACAGACCTCTTATCATGGGATAAGGCAACCTTTTAACAAACCAACTTCATAAGATCTTCAAGCTTATAAAATTTTAGAAGCTGACTTCATATGATGAATTACACATGGAATGCAATTGTTGACTTTCTTCTTGATATTATGTCATGTGCCCTTAATAACCCTTTTTATATTTGTCCTCTGAGCTGCCTACATTGTGGAACTCTGCAGTTTGCTGGAGGTCTGGACTCTGAAACATTATGTGCTTTTGAAGAAATAAGACAGCGAGTACCGGGACACTTGGGAGGTTCTCAAGAGCTGTTGGCAGGCATAGCATCTTCCTAACAAGCTGCAATGAGAGACTTCCTGCCGCCAGTTATAAGTTTATAAGAAAGTTAAGCATTTTCTTCATTGTATTTTTATGAGGTTTACAAGAACCCCAGCTCCAAACAGAAGTCAAATAATCTGACTGCAAAAGGTTCAAAATCCAGTTTTGTGAAGCATTGAGAAGTGAATGAAATCTCCACCAAGAATGTTGCATCACTCAGAGGCTACCTAAAACCAGCTTTCCAGGCCAACTACTGATGGCATGGACATGGACTCTTCACCAATCAAAGCTCCTACTATGATCAACTGACTATGGTAACAGTTGCTGTAAAAGATCTCTTACTGATTATACTTTCTGCTTTTTGTGTATAATATTAAACAATGTTCACTGTATTTAATCTTCTTTTGTGATAAGATCCCAGCTCAACTGCCTGTGGCTTTATTTTACCTTCTTTGTTCTCTAAAGAGATCTATAAATTTAGCACTTGTATTTTGAAACTTGGTTGTACATTGCACAGGCTGAACTACTGTCCCCAAGAATGTTTGGTGTCCATGGAAATTTCTTGCTGTTTTTGCTAATTAGCTGCATGAGATTGATTCTGATCCTGGTGGTTGAAAATCTGTATTATGTTTATGTGGCTTCTGTGTCATTGACTCATTGTGATTTTGCTTCTACCTAATAGTGTATTTCTTATTTTGGGCTGGTTGCCTTATCAAATAGGCTGTGAAGTTATAAATAGAAAGCACAGTTGAATGATTTTTACAAATATACTTTTTTTTCTTCTGTTTTTGGTCAGATTTTTAAATAGTTTTTTTATAACTATGGAGTTAAAATAAAATAAAAGGACTTGTTTATATATAACTATTAGAAAATATTTTTCTTTTTATTTTTCTTTTTTAGAAAAAAGAGAAGAAATTATGTGAGTCCAATATGAAGTTGTCATGCACATATTGACTCTATGTAGAAAGAAAAATAATTATAATTTATGGGATTATTTTTTAATTAATTAAGTTCAAAAGGATTTTACATAATAAAAAGGAAAAATACCCAACAAATAAAAACAGATAACATTTTGGTAAAAAAAGTTATGGATGTAAGAAATGCCTACTTGGCAGCACACGTGGCACCACTTGGCTTAATCTCCACCGTCCAATCCATCGAAGGGTGAAGGCTTTACTCAATTCGTGTGGACAACCGAAAACGGTCACAAGCTTGCAGGCGCCCAGCACGCGCCGCCTCCACCTCACTACCCGCCAATCTAAAACGCCCGCGTGTTCAATCAGTTATCCAGCCACCTTCTAGCTTCCTTCCTCTCTCCCTGTCCCTGTAATACAAGGAAAGGAAGATACGCAGATAGAAAAAGCTTCGATCTTTAGGATTTGAGACGACGATCTCTGAAGCCATTTATCTGCTGTTGCTATTCGCTGCGTTTTGTGGGTTTAGGGTTTAGAGTTTCCAAGTTTCAGCGTCTAGTTTACAAAAAGCCATGGAAGTTTCTGGCGTCGTTTCCCGGCAAGTACCTTGCTTTTCCGGCGCTGGAATCGATACCACTCGGTCTTCCACGGCGTCGTTTCATGGAGAGTTTCGGGTTCAGGGTCGTAGAGATTTTGGAGTGTCTTTGAGAACTAGAAGGTTTCGTGGGCAATCGAATTATGGATTTTGTGATGACAGGCATGTGCAGTATTATCACGTGGGTCCCAGATGTGGTTGTAAGAAGGAGAAGGAGATCAAGAAGAAGCTGAAGTTGCTCAAAGGGTTGTCCAAGGACTTGTCCGCGTCTTCTCAGATGGGTTTTGGACCGTCAGATTCTCAGGAGGGTTTAGTCGCTCAATTTCAGGGGAAGCTGATCTCGGTATGTTTCTGATTAACTTCACCTCATCTCTGTTCTTGGTGATAAGTGGTTTTTATGGTTAAAAATCCTTTCTGTCTTCAATTTTTCAATTTTACATTTTAATGGTAGGCTTTTTTGGTTCCCTTTTGAATTTGAGAACTAACATAGTTTGGACCAAATCTATTATTATGTACTTGGGCTGGTGATATGTAGGATAAAATTCTGTATTTTGTGTGTGTGTTTATAAGAATCAGGGTTCTTTTATGAAGAATGAGGTAGATATGTTTTGATTTCCTTGAAAATTGGATTTTGGGTACCGATTATTATTCGAAATCATGGATATTAAATGTGTAAATTTGCTGTGTATGCAGGAAGGTGCAGAGGCATTATTACTAAAACAATTGGAGGAGCTAAGAGCAGAGGAGAAGGAATTAAAGAGAAAGAGGAAAGAAGAGAAGGCCATGCTTAAAGCTGAACGGATGAAAAACATGGTTGACAGTGAATCATCTTCTTCATCATCATCTGAATCAAGTGAAAGTGAATGTGGGGAGTTGGTTGACATGAACCGCCTGAGAAGCGAAGCCCCTGCGAAACCAATACTAGACAGTTTGCAGCCATTTAATCATCAAGAAGGGGCGGTGTTGACCCTACCGAGTTCATTAGCCATAGCCACCCAGCAAGAGAACACCACAGTAGAAAATGTCACTGAATTTAGCATTTCACAGAATCAGGAAGCAGAATGCTGCTCAGGAACTAGTTCAAGTTGTGTCAGCAGTAGTGGTAGTATTGGCCATAATGATGCTCTTAGTAGCTCAGTTATGGGAGCATCTGCCCTGAAGATTGAGGTGTGCATGGGCAACAAGTGCAAGAAATCAGGAGGTGGCGCATTGCTGGAAGAGTTTGAGAGGGTGATGGGTGTTGAAGGAACTGTTGTTGGGTGCAAGTGTATGGGAAAATGCAAAAATGGTCCTAACATTAGGGTTTCGAACACCGTAGGTGGGATTCAATCCGAAGGAACAGATGATTCGGTTAGGATTCCAACCAATCCTTTATACATTGGAGTTGGCCTGGAAGATGTGAGCCTCATTGTAGCTAATTTAATTGGGGAAGACAATAAGGATTTGGGGCTTGTTCCTGCAGCTTAGATCAGCTTTTTATTGATCTGCAAATGAAGGGATCTGACATTGAATTTGTTTGAATTTTGTGTAGCATTGTATGTCTTATGACTTAAGTTTGTATTGGCATGCCTATAAAGTCCTAGTTTTTTAAACTAGCATAAATGTAAATACATATTATACCTTGTCATCATCTCTCTACATGTTTTCCAGTTACTGCAATTTGTATGACACCAAGTGTAATGGCCAATCTCCATTGCAGATCATGCAGCTAACTTTCTAGTCAAAGAGAAGGATAAAAATAAGATAATCATACAGCTAATTTGCACGTGGGGTTAAACTAAGAAATATGATTTCTCTTGTTGACATTCAACGCGGATTTGCTTCCAATGACTGCATGTGTTATGAATGTTCCAAGTTCAACGATCTGCGTTTTTTTATAATGAAAATTCTTAGATCATTCAGCACCATTTTCTTTCTGCCCTTTGAATTTTATTAATTACACTCCTGGACCATGTTGATTAAAATAACACAACATATATTTTGTGGTTTATTTTGCTATACCTAATGTGTACATGGTACACAACATATCTTTTAGCAAGGGATTTTTATCCTATGTCTCTGTGCTTTAGTTTGCTATATATCCCATGTATTTCTTTAAAATTCAGTTTAGTTGTTGAGATATTGAGAAATTTTTATTTTTATTTTTTTTGGAGTAAAGCCAAGACATTCGTATCATCTACTTTCTGTTTTATCATTGTTTTCGCTTCCGCTAAATTACCTAAATACTTAATTCACCTATATCCTACATCGGGAGCCAAGCTTATCCGGGAAAGAAAAAAAAAGAAAGAAGGAAAACTGGTCAATTGGGTAGCTTTGGGGCCAAGCTTGTTGCTTGTTTGGGCTGGGGTGAAGCCCACAAGGGTCTCAGGACAAATTCTTCATTTATTTGCAGTTTCATTTAGGGCAAACCTATCTACTACTAAGTCTTCCAGTCTGCTGTCTTCTTTCTTTCTTTATTCTCACAAGAGGAGGCTAAGGAGCGAGAAGAAGAGAGAAGCCAAAACTGCGAGCCGCAAACGCGACCAACAAGATTCAATTTTGGTAAGAGACTCAACCTTCCCAGATTGTTTGCTCTCATGTTTCTGGGTTTATTTTCTCTCATTCCGTTCTTCTACTATTTTCTTCTGCATTTTTTTCATTCTCGATTTCGAGCTCGAATTATTCCAAAATGGAGTCTGGGTTTCCCTGTTGGCTTTTGTTTTCTTCTGGGCTGCTTTAAATGTTAGATTTTGTGGGTTTCTTTAGCACAAAGAACTGAGTATGAGCCTAATTGTGAGTGATAGATAAAATTGTCAATGTTTGTAAATTTATGGTTTAATAGTACTGCCCATTGTTATAATAGTCATTTTTGTGGTGTATGTGGTCTAATATAGGTTGAAAACATCCAAACATGGCCGATGCCGGTGCTAAGAAGTCTAACACCAATACCAAGGGTGGTGAGCTCTGCTCTCCTGTCCCTCAATTTTCTGATTCTTCTTTGATTTTCTTGTTGCTGTTAGCTTACCTTTGAATTTCTTTCTAATTTTTAGGAGGGAAAAAGAAGGAGGTGAAGAAAGAAACTGGCCTGGGTCTTTCCAAGAAGAAGGATGAGAATTTTGGAGAGTGGTATTCTGAGGTATCTGTCTTTATCTTTTCTGGTTTATGTTCAGCAGTTTCTTTCACTAAGTAATATATGGGCTCTTGTTTATTCCATGTAGGTTGTTGTTCATAGTGAGATGATTGAATACTATGATATCTCTGGTTGTTATATTTTAAGGCCATGGACGATGTCAATATGGGAGACGATGCAAGTAAGCTTTCCTTTTCTTATTTAGTTATTCAATTTCATGTTGTCAATGTTTCTTCTTTGCTATTAGAAACAACCATCTGGTTCCAGCGTATTGATTACATGTTCCCTGTGTAGTTCTTAAGACTTCAATTTAAATTTGACATTTTAGCATGGTATCAATTGATGTCATCTTTCCCTGTCAGTTGATGACTATTTTGCCTGAATTCTTTTTAACCATGTTAAACCTGGTAGTACTTTTTAATATACCCCCTCATGTCTTGAGTTTAGATAATCTCATCTTGCACTTATATGATTGAGGATGCCAACCTTGTTACATATGCACCTATCAAGCTATGAACTCTACTTAACAGATTTCAATGTAATAGTTTCATAGTTTATGCTTGCATATTTTCTCTATTCTTTTAGCAAATTGATATGATAATTCCAGCAAAATTGCTCACGTCCAACTCCTTAATTTGTAGGCATTCTTCGATGCAGAAATGAAGAAAATGAAGGTGAAAAATACCTATTTCCCTTTGTTTGTCTCCCCTGGTGTTCTGGAAAAAGAGAAGGATCATGTAGAGGGTTTTGCTCCAGAGGTGAGAAATAACACTGTATTGCTATGATGGTTTAAGTGACTTTATTTATTGTGTTACACACGTACACAGGCACATACACATCTAAGCACACACTCAGTTGGTTGTTGATTATTATTTATATTATTTTATATTTCACTCTCTCCTCTCCTTGGCATGCCTTCTATTTTAGTATCTAGCATGCAATTATAATTTTTTTGCCGTGGTGTTTTTAACTCATAGAGTTTTTTTGTATAATGAAAAACATGTACTTTTACTTGTCACTTTGTGACAATTTGTGCCTGTTGTGTTACTCACCAGTCACCCCTTAGTACGTGTATATGTTATTTGTTTTATGCTACCTCTTTTTTCATTCTTTTATTTCTTAAGTAGGTTGCTTGGGTCACAAAGTCTGGAAAATCTGAATTGGAAGTGCCAATAGCAATACGTCCAACAAGTGAGACTGTTATGTATCCTTATTTCTCTAAGTGGATTAGAGGACACCGTGACTTACCTTTGAAGCTAAATCAATGGTGTAATGTTGTTCGATGGGAGTTCAGCAATCCTACTCCATTTATCAGGTAGTTCCATTGTCTTCCTGCTTTTGGTGTTGTATATACTAGTTTTGTAGCATTGATAGTGACAAGATGAGTTAACCCTTTTTATTCCTTCTGATATGTTCTCATAGATTTAAAGTTGTTTAGTTCTTACTTGATGTTTTGTTGCATCTTTAGTCAGGGTTGCTAATTGTCCTCTATGTCACAGGACCATTTTCTTGACCTCTCTTTTTGACAAGTATGTTAAATTTGGTTTTGCCTCAAATTTGTATGTATCCATATGATTTCAGGAGTCGGGAGTTTCTTTGGCAAGAAGGCCATACAGCTTTTGCAACACAGGCAGAGGCAGATGAAGAGGTAAGGAGTCACTCAGATTTCTGTTTCCCCTTTCAATGCCCATTATATCGCCAATCCCACTGTCTTTAGGATAAAGAGTTAGTTGCATTTCTACTGTGCTGAAGACCTTTTTTTGAAGGTTAGTTTTTGATTATTCATCTTGATTGTAGGTTCTTGAGATATTGGAATTATACAGAAGGATATATGAGGAATATTTGGCAATTCCAGTTGTGAAGGGAAAGAAGAGTGAGCTTGAGAAATTTGCTGGCGGCCTTTACACTACAAGTGTGGAGGTAATTGATATTTTCTTTATCCATAATTTTTTGAGCATACCTCTTATGCCTCTTCTATGGCGAGCTTGAATATATTAATTCATGCTTGCAGGCTTTTATTCCAAATACTGGCCGCGGTGTACAAGGTGCTACCTCGCATTGTTTGGGTCAAAATTTTGCTAAAATGTTTGGCATAGAGTTTGAAAATGAAAAGGGTGGAAAGGCCATGGTTTGGCAAAACTCTTGGGCATATAGCACTCGAACGGTAACTTTGCTTTCTTTTGTTTCCTGCGTTAAAGCTCTTGGGAATATTGTTATTCTATACAATAACAAATTTCTTTTCTTTGTTTGGACATTAATCACTGTTGGCATGCATCAAATAAATTTTTTGGTCACCTCTCATCAACACATCAATATCTATATTTAATTTGACCTAATTTGACATTGATGTAAGACCCAAACTATGGAGCATATATATATGTGCTCAGGCATAAAATTTAGTTTACGGACAATTTCATGTCTCTGTAGCATGGTGTAATTGCCTTTGTGACAGTTCCATACGAAGTTGTTTCACAATTTGTTTAGTTTTGGTGCTTCAATGTGAAATCCGAATGCCACACTATTAGCATCTATTGAAGAATAAAGGATGAATGAACTATGGGCAAGTTTTGATGGAGGTCCATGAAGTATAGAAAATTTGTCTAGTCTAGCATGGAAGTTAGATTACTTCATTGTATTTTACTGGGTATAGTGTAAGGTTTCTGTAATTGGCCATCTATTTTCTGTTTAGATTCAATCTACATTACTGGACTTAGTTGATGCTATATAAAACTTGGTTTACATTTTATAAGAAAATCTGTAATATTCTTGTTATGCATCACTTATAATGTCATTCCATCATCTGCTGAATTGCCTAGAGATAGTACTACTGTTCCCACCACCAAAATGCAATTCTTTATTTCACCGATAACTTTGCTGTTTTTTCGTTAGTGATCTTATCAATTGTTATTATTATTATGTTCAGATTGGAGTGATGGTGATGGTTCACGGAGATGACAAAGGCTTGGTATTGCCACCTAAAGTGGCAGCTACCCAGGTTATTGTGGTTCCAGTGCCTTACAAGGATACTAATACAAAAGAAATGTTTGAAGCTTGCTTGAGAACTGTGGATACCTTGACCGAAGCAGGATTTCGTGTTGAGGCAGATTTAAGAGACAACTATGGTCCAGGTTGGAAGTATTCACATTGGGAAATGAAAGGTGTTCCTCTAAGGATTGAAATTGGACCAAGGGATTTGGAAAAAAAACAAGTGAGGCTGCTCTCACAATTTTATTTTTCATTTTAAATTTAGTTGCTCATATTTTCTTTTGTTCTTTGTCTGCTATTGAGTAAGCCTGTAACAGATCTCATAGTTTTATTTCTGGGTCTGATCATGAAATGTAAGCCGGTAATGCCAGGT